CATCTTTACTTAACCCGTGATAGGGAATGCAGATTTTAATATTTAGTTTTTAAAATTCTTTTATACAAATTAGACAGAAAGATTTTCATAGATCTCAATAAATTTCTACGACTCAATCTTTTTATCTTAAAACTAATTTCTATACATATTATTTTTATACAAAGGCTAAAACTTCATTCTTTAGATGACGTTTATCTTTTATTTTGCTAATGAAAAACTTATTATAATTCATAGATTTTAACATTTTATGCACACTTTTGTTACTTTTCGGCCCTTCTTTCGTCAATCTTCGGATAATTATTTATTGATTATGAATTGTCGTCGAGGAGTTCCGAATATTATGCACATTTAGACATTAAAGATAATTAACACTACCTTGGGACTTAAAAGACTTTTTAAGTCACAGCACTATGATATGTTCAATTTCAATGTATTATAATATATTTCAAATCTGACCTATTTTTAGACAAAACCCCACTCTGCAGCAGACGAACACCAAAACTGCCAGCAGAACAAAGCAGGCGACACCAAGAAGAATAAGAAGGGCCATTATTCCAGCTGAAGGACCATCGTTTTTCAGTAAGTGAAATTTCAAATAAATATTACAGGTCAAAAGAGTAATGTTCCTGAATAAGCCATCAGTTACTTAGGTAATGGCTTTTAATCTTTTTTATTCTGATGCTCATCTTCTATATAAAGCAATATGGCTGCACTAAACGCGTTTATTGTTGGTACATGGGTTTCTGACAGGAAAATTTTCAGAAACTTTTTCAGAAAATGTTTCTATCATAAATTTTACTTGTCAAGAAGTCAATATTCAACAAAATTTGCCATGTCGTATTATAATATATGTAGATTACAATGCTCACAGAAAAACGGTGCCCTGTTAGATACCTTTTCGATGGCTTATTATGTAGGATTGGATTTTGTCGGGGCTGCGTTCTGTGAACGTCAAACTGTCTCTTAGTCCTCATATTTTATGTTAAGATAAAGATTTGTAAAATTTGCCCGTCGAAAATTATTAAACGTCTCGTTTTATCATTTACATATGAATAAAATATTGAAAAATAATAATGAAATAAAATTGCGTATTTCAATATCAGTATTTTTTCTAAAAAAATCATTTTTTACTGCAGTAAACATATTTTCCGTATTTTCACTAATGTCTTTTCGGACTACTTTTTTCTTTATTCAGCCAAAACACAAAAATAAAGGAGAAAGTTTAAGAATTGTAAGGTAAAGAAAAGAGTTACACAGGATTTATTTTCAATTAGTGATATAAAATGGTCATATTTTACATTCCACATAAAATATCAATACTGTATTTTTAGGAAAAAAAACTTAAATAGCCTCTGTATATTGTCTTTTAAACGTTTATACTAGATATCATATTGCAAATACATAAAACACTTCATAAACTGACATTTCAGAATGAAATGAAATGTCATTCATTTATTAAACTTTGCATATGTTTAGTCCTTTTTAAAATGATGTGCTTGTATTTAATGGTGTTACTTACTTTGATGTACGTGGAAAGCATTGTTTGCAAATCTCAATGTTATCAGAGCAAGTTGAGTTAACATGCGCTCCCCGAATTTTATAAAACGTATCTAGTTGGAAAGTTAAGACTAATCCGCCATCTTCCGTGCCAACAGAAACTGACCACCAATCTGATAAAAATTAACCACTTGCATGTATTAAAATAATGTTAATTACGACTGCAATTAGCAAGAATGAAATATGCAATTATTTTTTGAACAGACAAGTAATTATATTTGAAGCCCAAATTTACTAATAATTGCAACCCTGAAATCGACTGTTCTAAAAAAATAATTTATGGCTATAACGATGTTTCGAAGACTGGCGGTAGTCTTTCTTTCTTCATAAAACATAAACTTTTTTAATCTTACGAAAAAATCCGGTTAATACTCCTGTTTCTTATATAAAACTTTTTTCATACTCGAGTCAGCCAGTTAACAATTTTCAATCTTCTCCTTAAAAAAATTTTTTAAGCAACGTTTACGAAAAGAAAGATATCTACTGCTAATATTAAAGAATTTACCTGTTTGTATTGCCCGTTTTCCTCTAGATTTACGAAATATACTTGTAACCCTGCTATCCCGTCACCGATTATCTGATCAAAATATTCCTTGTTGTTGACATGTTAACCCTCGAATTTCCAACCTTCTGAATCTGCTTATCACTAGAAAGTAATCTATTCATTGTGAGCCCTTTATTAAGAAAATAATTCTTATGATACATGTACCTAATTTGTATATTCTCACAGGTGGTTTTGTTTGTCATTAAATGAAGGAAGGAACGGTTTCGGTCATGACAGGTCTATTTTATCAATCTTAATGTACAGTATGATAATACTCGTAAATAATTTTATGCTTAACCTCGGTAATCCACAAATGACCCAAATCGAATTTCCTAAACACACGGGCACACAAGATAATTTGGAAGGACTGTAAAATATGATATTTTTTAGCAATTAACATAGTGAAAAAAATATTTATAAATGCGTGCCATGAGTGATTTGCAAGATCTTCAGCTTGTTCTCCGAACTTACATATTCAGGGCTGGCCTTGTAAGCGTCACATAGTTCTGTTGTATTTCCATCACATTTCTCCCTCAACGTGGTTTCTGCGCTTGACAAAAGAGCGATTACACCGCGTTCTACAAACGGCGACCATGCATCCAATCGAAAATCGGTTGTAAACACATTAAGGGACACATTTTCTCTGAAATTAAAAGACATGATATCTCAATCACGATATAAAACAAATGTATCTAATGGTTCGAATTTAGGAAAACATGTTATCAGCATGTACACCTTTTATTTTAATGGTACTAGTATATTATGTACTTTACAGACTTTTCTATAATTTCCATTAAGTTCTGGTCGTGAGTGCTTAAAATTTTAGAAAGCATTTAAAACGTTATGTTTTTCAACAACACAGTATAAGCCATATAGCGATTTTCAGCTTTACTAGTGGAGGAAGACCTCAAGTGCTCCCTTCGTGCGTTATTTCAGGCACAAACGGCCATCGTTGTTCCTTAAGTTGAATGGCAACTAGCGTAATAAAGAATTGTAAGATAGTATTAAACATCTATATAGTATTAAAATATACAAAAATAACAAAATTTTGTATGTACTTGCACTTTTTCCTCGATCTTTTGTCATAACTCCATTCAAAATAACAATCAAATTCTTTCTCCATGTATGGTCGAATCCACTGATTTATATTTGAACGATCAGGTTTAAGTGAAGCAAAGTGGTCTTTCAGTTTCTCATTAACGTTTAATTGTGACGTTACAGTGATACAGCCATTGAGTTTTCTGTACAATTCAACGTCAAATCTAGTGCCCCATCCTTCCGAACTTATAAAAAGAAATTCATTTCTGTCGATCATATTGAATGTTTTAAATAACTGCACGACGTCAAATGAACCAAGAAAAAGGACCACAATATGAGCCTTTGAAAACTTCCGTAGTTTAGAAAGTACATCAGTTCCATTCGTGTCGGTTTTAAAGGATATTGTCTGAGAGACACACATATCAAACTTTCCGTTTCTTATGTAGTCCAGCAAAAGATCCCTACCGCCCTCGCCGTACGCACCTTCACTGTGAACAATTTGAATAAAGTTTCCTTGTAGTCTCTCTACAATCTTCAGGATAGTTTCCGCTTGTTTACCATCCGGGATAGGCGTTCGAAGGAAATATGGATATATTGATCTGTCACTTAAAATAGGAGCCGTTGAGGCGTAACTTATTTGTGGATACTCTAAGCGCGAAATAATATCTGCAACGGCTTTGCTGACATCGCTAGACCAGCCACCAATGTAACCAAGGATTTTGTCACCAATAGGTATATACCGGTCTTTTACATAAACTCCAAATCTATGTAATGTTAATATCTTTTCCTGAATAATTTGTGGATCATTACAGCTGTCTATTATAACTATCCCGATATTCGCTTCAGGCTTCGATTTAGCCTCTTTCACAGCAAACCGGATTGTTTCGGCAATATCCAAACCTCCTTTTTTGATTTCTCCACACTTCAATGGAGTGGATCCTTTGGTATGAATAGGGACAACTCCAATAATATACATGTCACCTGGGATGAACAAAATGGATTCTTCAGACAGATCGGTGTGGCAATGTGGACAAAGCTTTCCATCAGGACACTGTGCCTTTCGAATATTCGGCCACAGCAATTCGTAGCCTGTTATGTTGTAATCCTTTATATCTGATGAGATAACATTCAATTCTTTTGATTTCTTGTACCCGGCAACCTTAACAATTCAAAAATATAAAAATAGAAATCAGTTTAAGAGATATATTATGAAATCCTACCTCACTAATAGTTATTAAAGATTATCTCGCATTTCTTTTCATGGTAAATTGTTTGGTCTAAAAAATTTTCTAAAATATAAAAACATTTGATCAAAGAGTTAAAAAAAAATAAAAGTAAAAATTGAAGGAATTGTACCTTTGTTGTCTCACCTTAATCATGCAATTTCTTTCTTTTCGTCTTGAATTTTTGATGACTGGTAACTCATATATTGGGAAATCGCAGGCAGGTTGTCTCAAAAGATTTTTCGAAAATTTTCAACTAAATTTTGGGTTCGAACTCTTTAAATTTTTGGGAATACCCAAATTTTAAAATTTTTTTCTGTTATGGAAGACAATTTTTTAAAAAAACTATCTTGGGGTTTTTTATGTCCGAAAACGGCACAATTTCTTTGTTAGGGGAGCTTTCAAAAAATATTTCTTCACACCTAGCAAACACTAAAATTTTGAAGGCATTTTTAAAAAACCGAAGGGAAAACCCCTCTACAAATTCAGGTTTAGTCAACTGGCGACACGTGTTAATTTCTTTTGTGTCAGCGGGAGTGCAGTTAAATATTTCTGTATATACTTCTCGAATCAATGAATTTGATTCAATTTCCTGATACAGTTTAGACGTATCTGTAAAGATCTGTGTCCAATGTTCCTGAAAGCTGCTGATTACCCTTTTAGGTGGACTTAAAACAAAAGCTCCCTTTGAAATATTTTCGTGCCGTCCCTGGATATATCCCCCAGCTTCCGAGAATAGAAAAACGGGATGAACAACATTTTTGTTATTTTTGACAACTTTTTCAGTAACAATCAGGACAAGGTCAGCTAAAAATGAGCTTCCAAATACCAAAACACCGGAAATAGGTACATCTGCCCCAATTATTTTGTCTTTTATGTCTGTTTCCAATTCAATTTCATTATTGTATGTTGTATTAACAGCAATCAAGACAGGAAAGCAAACATCAAGACCTTTACTCTGCAAGAGAAGTTCATCTTTGCCTCCTCTTCCATATGAATCATCGTCGTAAATAATTGCCATGTATGTCCAGTTCAACGCTTCCATAAACTCTATCATCACCTAAAATTTGAGTTCAAGTTTTCTATTTTGTATAATCAAAATTGTTATTTTTTCAGAAGAATAATATACTCGGTTCCTATGATATCAAGGGTTCTATGATATCAAGATATTTAAATTTTCTGTGACTGCTAGTAAAAGCAACACACGATGATGCTAATATTTGTAAAACTTGCACACTAGATTCATTTTCATCTGCCAATAAATTTAATTTGGTGAATAATGAATGTATTTGTGGCAAGAAAACTATTTTATAAAATCTTCATATTTGACTACCATTTTCCTTAATGGTTTTTACACAGTCAATTAAAATATGTTATAAACACATATACTGACATATAGTCTGTTCATAAAGTTTTAATTTTATAGCAAGTTAACTGATGGAAGTTTTTCACAACTTAACCTGAAAGTTTTGACCCATCAATCCTTCCATACTTGCTTTTTTTGGGGATTACCTTGATACCGCAGTAACCTCCTCTGAAATGACCCAAAATGGCAGGCATTGAAAATATTCTAAATAATGTCATTTTTATTGGTTCTTTTGAAATAATTTTTTGAGAAACAGTTCTGGAAAAGGTTCATTTATAAGATGGAAGAAAAATCTCATTCATTTATGATATTTATATTTAAATATTTTCCGATAAATGTTAAGTACCTTGATATCATAGAACCCCGGGCTACATGAATAAACTATGATCTGGACATTGACTTTGCTCTCCAAATGTAGAGGAAGTAAAAGTATCAATCTTTTCAACTTTACTTGTATAACCTGACGATACCTAGCGATTTAATGTTTGCAAACAAGCGCTGGGGATTTGTGTGACACAAAAGGTTGTCAGAATTTTAAGAAATCCAATAACACATGAAACTTTACCAAAAACTCATACTCCAAAGTTCGTTTATTATCTCACTAGATAAATTAAAAAAGAAAAGATGTTTGCTGACTTTTTCATGAAAATGATGTGGTGTAAAGCTTAGAACAAATTTTACCTCAACTTGAATATCATCTGGTGGGATTGTCCTAAAGAAGTTTTTGTAAACATTTCTGTCTCGAAGAGACGCTGAGGTAGCAGAAAATGCACCTTGAAGCAGACGATTTTCTTCCGGTAGGGAGCTCAACAGTCGTGAGATACTTTCAGTTTCAAAACTGTAGTCGGACCCTATAACGCCTAAAAAAAAATTCCATATTTTACACGGATTGATGAAATATTATTTTTGTTTACTAAGATACGTTATTTGTAAGCGCTTCTTTTGTCAGTTGTAAATAAATTCACTATTAAAACATTGTAAAACACATGTTTGATATTCTATTATGCTCTCAAGTAAGTGTGTGAAGTATCAAACCATTCCCCTTTAGTAGTTTTGGAGATACCAAACTTAACCGACACCGGAGTGCGTACAACAGCTCTTCCTATAGCTAAAAACAAAATGGTATTTCGTAAATACGAAAAGATATTTCGTAATAACGTAAACATTCAGTAACATTGCATTAAACACGGAAGAAGAGGAGCGGTTAAACACTTTTAAACGCTTCTTCAGTTTACTTCTCATTATTTCGTATTTCGTAACTACGAAATAAAAAAGTGTCAAGGACATCTGACAAAATTAAGATAATTATCCATTTACTCGAATATTGGCAATCAGTTTTGACCAATATATAAACGTAATTTAATATTCACGGTTTTTTGTATGTTTATACATATGTACGTACACACATTTTATCACATATATATTCACAAAAACATAGTACAATTTAAATGAATATCTAAAACATCGGAAACGATTTCGTTATAAATAAATGTAAAATATGATATTACCAATTATTCTGACATCTTTTCCACTATTATTGTACATTTCCGTTGCCATCTGGAGTGTTAATTTTTCAGGTTCTCCCCTCTTTTTACAAGTCTGGCTAATCCGAAGACCTACAATTATTATTATGTTAATAATTATGTGGTTACTTATTGACCTTGTTATTGGGCTGAAGACTGTCTTTTGCCTAAGGGTAAAATGACAGTCTAAAGCCCAATAGAAAGGCCATTATGAAAACACTTAATTATTGACAAATTTATTAATTAAATACTCATAATCTAAAACAGGTAAGTACTTAGTGAACAAAAAATAACGAATGTGAAATTCCGTTATAGTGAGGTATGCAAATGAGAGTCTTGTTTTAAAAATATCTCGGAAACCTACCTTGCAGCAATTCAAAATGTCAGCTGTTTCCAATGAAGAAAAAAGCAGATTTATAATGGCCGAGCTGGATAGCCAATCTTAATTCTCCAATCTCATAATAGCCGGGTTTTCTCATAATCGCCGTACTTTTTGCATAATGGCCTTGTTTTATGTTCATAATGTCGTGGCGAACTTCATAATTATTAGCCTTACATTTGAAGTGAAAACGTGCCTTATATTAAAAAAATAATTAATATTAACCCTTAATATGCTAAATTTCTCAAATTGATTTGTCCAATGGAATCTTCACTTACAACTTTTGGGATATAACTTTTGATGCAAGTTTGAAGTTGGACGGCCAAACTATTGAGCCTGACTGGACTGAATGGCCATAGACTTCTTAGGCATATTCTTTCAAGCATAATTCCAGGCAAAAGCGGGAACCAGAGTAGAATCATCTATCTTCTATACACTAGCTGGATAGCTTCCTAACATGAAATAATCAGTGCCGAACTCACATCAAATTTAAAGGGAAAAGGGCGATTTGAAGTGAAAGAATTTAAACTTTCGGCTACGGTGGCCCCTCTTATTTAATAAAATAAAATAAAATAAGGTTACCAATGTTAAGGTTAGGAATGTAGTCCGCATCATTGAGCTTTGTTAATGTCCATTTAATGGCTTGAATATTTTGTACTGTTTCCGCCTCGATAGTATTACATGATGAGTTGGAATAAATGGCTCCTATGAATTGAATGTAGACGTCCCCATCTAGTATTGTCTTTCCTAGTCCATAGACATTGACCACAGCAAACAACAGTATATAAACTAATGAAAAGGTCTGTAATAAAATAATAATAATAATAATAATAATAATAATAATAATAATAATAATAATAAAAATAAGAATAATAACAGCATGACAAAGCGCCAAACTGTGCGTTGTCGCATTGTTGTATAGAATTCAAGCGACAGGGCGACATCGCGAAAACACGCCCGCACGAAAACGCGCCGGTTGGCTTGCTTCGCTAGCGACTGGACGACAATACGACATAGCAACAACACTCATTTTGGCGCTTTGTCATACTGTCGCTAGCGACAAGACGAGAAAGCGATAACGATATAGGTTGTGTTGTTGCTATCGACAACGCAACGCGGAAGTGTACCAAATCAGCTATCATACAATACACCGTGAGATATACGATTTCTAGTTATGCAGATCAAATATTTGATCCGAATTTTTTTTATAATTCAATAAGTATGGACCTGTATGATGCAATATTACCAAATTGATTATGATAAATCAGCAAAGTTATTTATCAAATTAAGCGTTAAAGCATAGCGTCATTTGAATACATATATTCGTATGCGGTAAAATGTTACCGAAGCAAATTTATGCCACTGGCACTACCGTCTTCACAAAACAGTTAAATGAACAGATTAATACCCAGTGTAACAAAAAAATACCTGTAATATTGATATAATAAATATTTCAGACCCTATACAGCCTCTCAGACGCCAAAACACCCCCTCTGATCCCCATACACCCCTCATACTCCCATACACCCCATCTGACCACATACATTTCCTCAAACCCCCTGACCCCCACACATCTCCCATATAACCTAACATGTACCAACACGTTTTAAAAAGTAAGTTATCATTAATATTACAGCTATTAAGTTTAGATATAGGAGTTTTCTGCACGTTTTATGAATTTAAGAACATAACCTCATAAATAAAGGCTTCATATTTAACTTCTGTACGTAGAAAATCTTCATTCCCAATCATGATACCTAACTATTCTTGCAACTTTTGAATATTTTGTTAGTAAGGGGAATCGCTGAGAAAATGAGTGAATGTTCATATTTCCGCCTCTCCATGGACTGCAAGGTTAAATAATGCAGTTTACTGTGTTTGGGGATTTGCTCAACTTAAAAGTTGAGTCTCGTATCATTTTGATTGTTCCTACAAGACGGTTTCTTTCAACCCAGAGTTTGGTTACTCAAACGTAAAAGTACCCGCTTTAATTTATATGTTAAAATCATATGCTAATTGGGCCGCACAACATTTTAACTTGTACATTTTATGCAGAAACTATGACAAAGGTCATCTGATTGAATGTCTTGATATAACGAAGTTTAAGTTAAGTCGAATAATTCTTATTTACTCTTCCGTATCATGTATTTATTATAAAGTTTGTTAAAAAAGATCTAGATGAATAAAACTTTGTCATTTAATCTTCCTTTAACCAGATTATGGTCGTTAAACATGTAATTATCATTGTAATTAAATGGAAAACATTTAAACAAATAAAACGAAAAAAACTCATGAAGACATATTAAAAAACGAGAAAATCGTTTGTATTGAAAGGAAATAAACACTATAAACCGCGTCACGACAAAACCAACATAGTGGGTTTGCGACGAGCATGGATCCAGACCAACCTGCGCCTCCGCGCAGTCTGATCAAGATCCATGCTGTTTGCTATCAGTTTTTCTACTTGTAAAAGGGTTTCTAAGCGAACAGCATGGATCCTGATCAGACTGCGCGAAGGCACAGGCTGGTCTGGATCAATGCTGGTCGCAAACCCATTTTGTTAGTTTTATCGTGACGCGGCTCATATGTTCTTTTTGCTTGGGTTTTCAGCCACACCAACTCGTTTAAAAGGTCATATTTACGACGATTATCTAGCTTTCCTGGAGGTGGACTTCAGAAGATTTTACGTGCATTCATTTCAGGCACGTGCGGGAACATGAGTAGAACAACTGGCATTTCTTAGTCTTGATGTTTAGCTTTATAACATGTCCCCGGCGGGATTCCAACCAACAAAGTTTAACTGTTCTCTACTAGTATTTAATCAATCAGCAAGGAAATCGTAACATGTATACAGTAAAGTAAACAAAAATCCTATAACGGTTTACCTTAAACAAATTTTTTAAATATATGTAGCATAAAACCTTCAATATGATATTGTATGTTTATACATGTAAAAAGTATGGGGGTTATCATATGATACATCGGTTAACTATGTATGTACATTTGTAGATCACAATACATATATAAACATGCAATGTAATATTCAGAAAAGGCTATTTTTATATGAAATTTAATTTACAAAATTGGATAAAAGTTCACTTACCATGTTTGTAAATTATACCTACAGGTACAGTATTTTTAAGGGAATACCCCTTTTAGTTCTCATTATTATAAATTAAACTCCGCTACGTCACAGATCAGTTGCTCCAGGTAGTACAAATGTATAAATTTTTACACCTTATGAAAGAAAGCTATCAATCTTACCGACTGACATTCGATCTGGTTTATTCAATAATATAAGATAATATAATATTTATTCCCCTTTTATTACTACCCCAAAAATAGATACCATTCATCGGCATTGCATTTTGCAATTTAACATATTTCATTCAAGACACTTTATTTATTTGTTTTGTAAAAATATATGAAATAATAGCATTACAAAATAAACTGAACAAAGTACAGTAGAAATGTGTTTATCATTCATACAAACAATTTTTGAAATGTATATAAATATATATGCATAACATATTATTTAATTTTATCATGTACATAGGTCGAGAAAATAAATTAACAAACAAATGACAAAAATGTTACAGTAGTCCAAATCTGAAGAACAGATGCTTGTAATCATATAATTTAATATCAATTAAGATTCAAACAGTTACAATTTCATACATATTTCTATACAGCCGTGTACAATGTATACTGTATATACACGTGTACAGTCATCTTATATCTCTAGTAATATATATATATATATAAAGAAAGCCCAACACGGCAAAATTTAAAATGCTGCAGGCTCGGTTTGATTGAGCCTGATCATCGACGGTACTGGATAATGCAAGTTACCGTCCACGCCCCCTAAAACCGGGTTAAGCAGAATTCATAAGGTCATAATTATATAGAATATTCATTCATAAATAGATAAAGAGAGCAGATTTAGAAATTGTGAGCTCCGTATGTTACGGTTTGATTGCATGAATTAAAGAAGTTCACGTGACCGTTTGAAAATTCTTCAACTGCATGTATGATGACACTATATTAGTCATCTCTTAACTGCTTAAGAAGTGTTTCAGAATATATGCAATTGATTGTTTGCAGAAAATCTACCACTTGTATCCTAGAAAAATCGATGTCATAACCTTTATAGCTGATGCAATAGTCTTTACCTTCTTTGGAGAGCGATGAACTACGGTGGTTCCATTCCCAGACTGTCGTTTGGCCTCTGAGGCAAGTTTCATCCATATAGTAGGATATCAGTATGAGTGAAGGAAATGAACCAGTAACTCATGCTAAATCAATTAAGTTCAAGTTTGTCAAATTTTAATTTAACTCACTGTTTTTGTTTCGTGAGAATGTTACAGAGGTCAAAACTAGAAAGGACGAAGAGGAAATGTAGCCATCCATTGTAGATATATATAAATCATATAAATCATGTTAAACCACAGTATGGACACATCTGCTTATGTTTTAATATATTTCATTCTGTTTAAGATTACATCAAACTTGCCATAGTCATACTCGAAATTTACAAATGTATTCAAGACTGCTTTTTCTATAGAACGTCGTAGGTTCGACTCAGCTGCCCATTCGTGCCTGTAATAATGCACAAAAACAATAAAAACTACTAATAATAAAAGAAAAACAATACTACTACTAATGATAAAAAAACAAATAACAACAACAACAACTTAATTATTGACATCTGCATGATAAAGGGGTTTTCTTGGTTTATAATATCATGTGGGCAAGAATTATGTTATAATAACGCCGTCTTTACTTTTGAATTACATACCATATAGATGCAGTTGTTTTTAGAAGGTATTTCTCAAACTCTAATTGCAACTTTATTTTCTTCTTGATAATTATATGTTAGTTGCCTACCTCAATGTTTTTAGCAGGGTAGAGTTACTCTCACATGCTTCATAAGGAATACTATCCGTTACAGTCCCGAAGTTTTCCTTAAACCGTCAGATAAATTTTATGACAAGGCAATTTTATTTCGTACGTATTCGTCAGACAAAGCTATCAAATTAAGTGACAAAGTATTAACGGAAGTATATATTTTAACTGTATTTTATAACAGTTTTAAAAGCTTTAATTTATGGTGGATGAATTTCTCCATGTCGAATTTTTTCGCAACGAATAATCGAAAACACGAAGTGACCTGTCATATTGCTGTTCATTCGCAATTTCACGCCAAAATTTAAACATCCGACAAATTTCAAATTTTATAAATACGCTGAAGTAAATCAGCCGACATTTTTATTCCAGTTAATGATATGTCAGTAGGACATTCTTATTTTTATTGTTTCGCATAAATTATCGTATTTTATATATTTTGAACTAAAACTTCTTTGTCTAATGTCGTCAAAACAACAATAACAACATCATCATAATTCGTGAAAAAGAAGGGAGTTCAGAAAGAAAAAGGAAGAAAATTTAAGACAAGAAAAGCATTGATGCAAAGCATCAAAGGGCGACGCCAAAAGAATTTGATCCAGATTTGCACCTAAATACTTAACAAAAGATGTGTACTTTATAGCAGTACCATTACATGTGACCTGGAGGCTATGGCCAGGTTAAGTTGAAACTTAAACCAAAAAAGAATAGACTCTGTCTTGCCAAGATGCAAAGGCAATTTATAGTCAATTAAGCAATCTTATAAGACTCATGTTATAAGAAAGAATTTCTTCAGATTTCATTTATGAGACACAAGGATTCCTGAGTCATCAGCATATAATCACTGGCACGAGTATCGGACCTGGGAAGAAAAAATATGACCAGATGACCAGATTG